GAATGCTTGCAAAGTCCGCTTGCAGCAAAGAAAGAGACACAGCAAAGGGAACTTCCACAGGTGAAAAATAATCAGGGTAATGAACATTGTGAGCTTGTTGAAAGAAGAAAAATTATATGATTTACCCTTAAGTGAGAAATGTACAACAGCCAGGTATTTGTGGAGACCAAAAAAATACCAGTTTCCTCAAGATTTAGCTGTGCGCAGAAAAATCATTTTTGCCAAAAAACACCACTTTCACAACAAAATTTCCAAAGCCAGAAAGGTATCCAATGGATGACAACCTGTTGGCTGCTAGCATGCTGGAAACTTGTGTTTGTACTTTTATATGGTTTCACTCAGACCGAGAACTTGCATATTGGTTTTTCACATCATAAGAAAGTGTTCCAGCTTCAAGCTATAGAGTCGCATTTTATCATCAAATGAATTTGGAAAAGACTTACCCTTTCTCCCTTTTTAGGTAAATTTTAAACCCATTTTGGTTTAATCAAGCAACTGCAGTAAGCCTGAAGACAAGTAGGTTTGATTGTCTGCTGTCTTTGGTCGAACCCTTGGAATCCCTTACAGAAACAAGGCATAGATCTACCACTGAAAACCACGGGCCAAGGTTTAAGGTTTGCTGTTTGGGATGACAACAGATTCATGTTCTAACGCTATAGCTGCGTGATGACAGAGCAAAGACTTGAGAAACTTGTGCATACGGAAGATCTGAACTCACCTTGGGAGGTTTCATCCCATATGACAAATAACCCCCTCTCCCTCCCACAACAACCCCCCCCAACCCCATTCCTTGGAAATTTATTCATCTAGCTTTTTCTTAAGTTGGACAGGAGTTTCCCATCCTAAAACTATCTGCAGCTTTTCCTGGATAAGCAGCAATATAATTACATACAACTGCAATAAAATTACAAGATCTGTATAAAAATGTAAACAAAGCTTTCCTTAAATGAACATTAACTGTTTGGATTCTTGTGACTAATTGATGTTTGTTTTCTCTTTTAAATACTATAGCAAAAAGTCACAATCTGAAAGGTTAACAGTTACTGGAGGCTGAAAGAAGTCAAGAGTAAGCCCTAAAAGTCACATCTTGCTCTGAAGCTGAGGGTTTACTCTGTCTTCAAGAGGGCTGCAGATATAGTTGACGGAAAAAAATGTATTGTTTAATACTTTTACATAAATCATAATATTTGCAGAGTAAAATATAGAACAATGGTAGTTTTCCTCACAATATTTATCTGCAAGCAAGAAACTCACCTGGCATGCTAATGCATATTACAAACATTTCAAAGGTTTTATTCTAGTTATAAAGAAAGAATAGCTGTGCTGAAGAGAAATCAGCAGCACCATTAAGATAAACAGAATTGAATACAGGCTAACAATCCACATTAATAACGTCCTAGTTTCCAGTTCGGGGCCCCAGCAATACCCAGAAAATCATCAGTAAACTGAAGTTCAGGGGAGAGCTACAAACAGTTGGGGCTGGAGTACTTGCCCTGCGAGGAGAGGCTCGGGTAGATGGGCTTGTTCAGCCTGAAGCAGAGATGGCTTTGGAGCACCTGACAGCAGCCCCCAGTACCTACACGAAGGTCACTGAGGAGATGGAAGCAGGCTCTTCACAGCAGGGCATGGCAAGAGGACAAGGGACAACAGGCGTAAGTTCAAACAGGAGAGGTTTACTTTGGACATATGGAGGACCTGTTTTCCTGCCCATTATGGCACCCAAGCACTGGAACAGGTTGCCCAGTTTCTTAAACTTCTGAAGACAGAGTCAATTGAATCAAGCCCTGAGCAACTTGGTCTGACATCAGAGCTGACCCTGCTGTGAGCAGGAGGTTGGACTAGAGACCTCCTGAGGTCCCTCCCTATAGTCACTCTTTCGGAGTGATCTGAGATCCTGGGATCAGTGTACCCAAGTTTTAAAATTTTATTTTAATAGTTTAAGAACTCCCACCTCTGCACTAAAACGTTATGTAATTAGTAATATCTCCCACGAAACAATCTCAGCTTGAGGGTGGAACATGATTACTCCCTCCGCACCTCTGCTCCCTGACAAAAGTCTCCACTACTCAGTTTGACCACAAGCAAATTGAGTAAGGAACTTACAACTGAAGAATAAGAAAGTCCATAACAGTCCTGCCAACATATGCACAGCTGCAAGTATTTAACCCCCCACAACTCCAGGGCCCCAGTTCAGTCAAGCTATATTAACTCTTAGCAAATATTGCTTACTATGGAATAGATACATTTCTACTGACACTTTACCTAATTGCATTAATACCTCAAAGTGGAGGACAGAAAAAAAAAGAAAAACCACACAGAAAACAAGAAAAATCAATCCCCCTGCCACACACACCAAACCCCAAACTCCATTAAAACAGTTTCTTCAACTATGCAGTAAAAATAAAGAATCATCAATGGTCTTACTCAGTGTACTGATTTAGACATTATTATGCATTTTAGTAATTATAGTGCATAGGACTCTGACTTGAAACACAACCTGGGAAACTGATCCCTTATTGAAATGGCTGTGAGAAACAGGTCACTTCCAAGTTCTGTGAAATCGAGGCTTGAAATACTTTATGTTGGCTCGGAAGTGGCTTTGTCCTACACCAACAGATGCAGCCACAGTCAGGACCAGCTGAAAGACCAACAGCTGACACTTGTTTTTTGGGAGCTCAGTTTCTCATCTCAATACAGAAGGGTATTCTTGTTTCCATGCACCCGAGACGAGGTGGTATTCAATTTCAAGCATTCTTAGGAGAAAGTCTTGGAACAAAATGTCACAGTTGATTGATGAAGTTAATGAACAACACTTGACTTCAGTTACACTGTCACAGGTAATAAGATTTTCTCTCCTCATCTCCATTACATGTTGACATTTTATGTTTCTGTATTTCACTAAGAGGGTGAAAGAAAGGCTAGATGAAGTCAGACTTTACTGAATTTTAGTCCCGTCTAAAAGGACCCGTTTGAGATCATGAGCACACACAATATAAGCTTTTGTTCACAGCTGTTTCTTTGTACTGCCTAAAATCCCAGTAGGGTCATGGGAGGAGGGACACAAGAGACAGAATAGTACTTTGAAAGTCTAGTTCTACAGTCCGAACTTACCACTTCGGTGCATAACTGCCTCTTTAAAGTGGTAAGTAATCTCACAGAGACTAGAACAGAAACAAGAAAGCATCAGGAGGCTCTCCCAGTGACTGTATCTGACAGCTACAAAAAGCTAGAGGATTACATTTGGATTCAAGAAAACTTAGTCACCAAATCCCACATTGTTAAGTTACCTCTATCATCACCCAGTTAAGTCTAAACACTGCAATTCTCAGTAGATTTTTGCTAGGTGATAACCCACAGCTTGTCACAGACAACATCAAAATTCAACCTTGTAGAAACAGCTCCACAACACATGGCAGCCTTTCTCAAAGGGCAGAGATCTATTTTTCTGTCACTGACTTTTTAAAGCAAGATAAATTTTAAACACTCAGCAACCGAGATGTACAGATGTACCTATTTCACATTGAGAGCTATAGAAATATTCTAGTTTTACTGATTTTCATTGTTTCAGTTCTGCCGTGATGCAGAAAGATATTGAAGAAATAAGTAAAGTAGTCACTATAGACCACAGGTGACTTAGTATATTGGGTACATTCCATCTCTTAACACTAAACATGAAGATGAGAAGGCAGAGGAGGCTTTCCACATCCCAGAATATGGTACGCTTCTAGAAATGCGGTCAGATGCTCAACTTCAAATGGAACTACAGCATTTCCAAGTGTTGTTTGTTAGGAATGGAAGCATTATAGACAGAAACAATGTATTTCTTGAGGAAAGTGCATTTTAACCAGAAGAGGCCTGAGTAGATGAAATACTAGCTTTAAAAAAAAAAAAAAATCCTCATGCTTGAAAACAGTCTTCATTTCAACCCAGGACAACATGGCAGGAGGTTACGTGTTTTTTTTTAAGCATGCTTGCTTCATGCATTATAATAAAAGCATCATTTCTGGCTACTTCTTATGAACTTTCATTTGACCTCTGATGAGTTCACTCAGGAGAACAGCAACTTTATCTGGTTGGCTTCTCTGTGTCTGCATGGTTTTCAGTTCAATGTTTCTAGCCTACTTGCTGTTTTCATACACACCATACAACAGCTTGTACTGAGAGGAAATCTGTTCTAAATAAAACATTACACTTTGTAGCAACATTCCTCCAACATTAGGATAAATCCTATGAGACTGGATGCATCAAATCAAGAGAAAGAGGCATCCTGCATTAGCTCTCGGACTAATTACTGCAGAAACTCAATGTTTAAATAAATAAATAGAACTCCTATTTCCAAATCCAACCGATGCCCTTTTCACCTGCCTTTCTTGGTTTTCCCCTCACTGCCTAGATGAGGGGAAGGAGCAGGGACTGCTTCATCTTTACCCTTTTCACTTGCTACCAAAGTTAACTGAATTCTAGATTTGCTTCAGAGCCCTGCCAACTCCCAATACACAGTATAGCTTTTGGGGGAAGAAACTCATCATCCTACCAATGGGTCTAATGCAAATCCTCCTTGTCAATGGAATTACACTAGAAATGACTGCTCTGTTCTTTACCCTACCTTTCCAACATCTATTATAGCTACTTGGAACAGGTAGGATTAGTTTAACCATCTGATTAATACAACCCCATATAAGCGTTAGCATGAGTGCTCATAAAACTAGGGTCTTTCACGCTTATTTGGTTAACAACTGACAAAAAACCAAGACAAAGACCACAGGCATCATTACAGAGGCCAAATGATCCTTTCAGGCTAGGGAAGGATAAAGCAGTAGGTTTACCCAGAAATTTGGTGAGTGTCAGACATAATTCTTACTGATCTAACAGAAAATTGCCTGACATGGTGCCCAGTTTTCCTATCACTGCATCTAGATCACTTTGACATGTAAGTGACAACTTCTCCATTAGCCTCCAAGGCAGAAAGGCAAGAGTGGGTGCATAAGAGTTTATTACTACCCTTCTGTTACTTTATGGACATGTTGTTCCCTAACCCAGGATTCAAAAATAACCAATTTCCATGATGCAAGCCAGCTGGACAATGTTAAGAAACACCATGTCTGTGAGACATCAAACCTCCTATGGCAAATGTTATGCACCAGCCGTTGGCTACCTGGGGTCCTGCAATCTGCAGAGGGACCACAGTAAATGAGCAACATACTGAATCTGTAGTCGAGATGACTTAAAACAAAGAAGCACACCACATACCTCATTGCAGTTTTCTGGAAATGCTGTGGCCTATTTCACCTTCTGTTTGCTGCTCAGTGAGATGTTCTGCATCCCTGGAGAGGGAGAAGGAAACTAGGGCAACTCCAAGTATACGACCCTGCTGGGAGTTCTAGTTATGCACATGCTGCACAGAAAACCATACACAGTGCAGTTTGCTCTGGTTCCACCAAGGTCTAGGGAGAAGAAAGAATCTGCTTTCCCAGGGAAAGTAGAAAACTTTCTCAAGCTGCTGTTATAAATACTGCAAACTATATACTTTAGTTGGAACAGGTTTAAGCTCTTCTTTAGGTAAGAAATTGAAATTGTAATATGGTCAGAAATCACTTCAGGGCTATCTTTCCAAGTCTATTATTCAGACAGGCTTGTGCTCCTGCAGGTACTTGTTGCTTCTTCAACTTGCATGGGTCACAAATATATTACCAGTTTTTAGCATCCGTTCACAAGGGGAGTGAACAACTGTCAAACTAACTGCAGTTAGACTAATTTTGTCCTTCTGTAGCTTAAGCTAGCAAACAGCACCACAAAAATCAAGCACTGCTATCAGTGGCAGAGAAGGAAAGCTAGAATGGAGCTTGGTGATGGGGATATTCACAGCAATGAGGGGAACAGTAACACTAACACCCCATTAACATGACCAGGTCAAAGGAAAAAAGTGACAAAAATTTACAGATGGCAGATGATGGAAAGCATGATTTGAAGTCAGTAACAGTGTACTTGCCAGTAAGCAAGACAGATGAAAAAAAGCTTTCAGGTAGGGCCCAGGAACTGTCCTTCTGTGGTAATTGTCCAACATGTCCTCCTTTTCAACAAGTGGAAAAAAGGTCAGTAGCAAGGAAAAGGTGAGTTACCATGGTGTTGTCCTTCCCTCTCCCACTTTCTACTGGGTGCTACTAGGTGTTTGCTTTCTTTCCTGTGCTCACTATTGGACATAAGGAGTTCTGACAAAGACTTGATGATGGAAGAGTGAAAAGAAAGGAGAATGTAGGAAGAAAGAGACATGAAGATCATTGGAAACTACCTGCAACGTTACTCATGGGAAGAAGAACAAAAGCAGACCTAGGAAGAATACGAACTAGGACAGGCTGATTGACAGTATTACCATAACAGCACTCATTCTTAACACAACACTGAAAACCTTCTTCCCTCCACATCCCTTGCTACTTAGATTAACAGGGCACATACATTTAGGTGGTAAAGGGTAGGACTATAAAAGAGTAAAGTGATAGTTAGAAATACTGTTTAAAGCAAATGAGCAAACCAAGTTTCCAGAGCCCCTGTGGATACACTGATAGCAACTCAGTAATCAAAAAACAGATATCATCTGTGAGACGGTAACCTGCATGATACAGCATGGTGCGCTGACCCAAACTGTCTCCCATTTTCAGGGGCATCCTTTGTTTGGTTTTGACCGAAATGATGACCAATCTCATGTTTTTCATGCTCTAGAGCTTCTCTGGAAGTGCTTGGCTTACATATCATGCTAACTGAACATTCAAGATGCACAGAACAAGAACTCCTTGCTCATGCTCTGCTGCTCAACCCTCCTCCCCAGGAAAAGTAGTACATCTCAGTTTCAAACCATCCCTACAATATAACAAATAGTGGGGGAAGGAGGGAGAAGGAGATGAAAAACCACTCCAGCTAAAACAGTCTGTAATATCAAAAAATAATGCTGAAACACTTTTCTCTTCCACAAAGAAACCTAAATCTAACAGCTTTCAGACATCTCATTTGCATATAGAAACCTCCTATATGAGGCTCCAAGATCAGGGCTTGTTGTCTTTACACAACACTGACTCAAAAAACTTGTACTGCAAGGGTCAGGACAAACCAATTCAAGAAAGAACACTACTGTCTCACAGCTCCCTGGAGATTTCATCATGGTCACCCACCAAATGGTAGGGGCAGGTTGCATGGCCTTCTCTGCTTTTTTTAAATTTGTGCCCAAGGTATGTCCTGTTCCCCACATCTTCCTCTATGAGCACTCTTGCTCTTCTCCCTTCCCCACTCTTCTCCCATGCTCAAACGGCACAGCAAGAAATCATCTTCCTCCTTCAGTCCATCTGTTCTCCTCAAGCTGCCTTGACACTGAAGGCCTAGCAAGCCCAAATTTAACAAACCCTACATTGATCTTAGTTTGCACAGAAGCACAACCCATTTGATGGCTCACATCCAAGTCAGCATTGATAAGGATGTAGCTTTGCTAAGGCAAAGTGGGAAAAGGGAATAAAGTAGCTACTCTTATGGTCTACCTCCTGGAGCTATGGAAGAGTAGTACGGTTTCCATGACCACTGGACCACTTTGTGTTCCCATTCCTACTATCTGCTGACCCACCTGATTGTGCAAGTATTACCAGTACAGTAGTGAATTATTGCCACACCATGGGCAAGAAGTCTTGATGCCTGAAGGATCTTGGAAGACAATAGAAGGTAGAGACCCTATCTTTTTCTTTTTTTTTTTTTTTTTTAAATAAACAGTAGGACCACTACAAAACAAACAAAGATCAGTGGAAAAAACTTATTTAATCACCAGTGCAGTCTGGAACTGGCTACAGGAGCCCTATGCCCAATACGCCACTTTTAGTGGCATTATGATTTTGGGATTCTATGGAACTTATCAGTCATTTTTGGCAGATTCAGACACAAATGCACAATATGCATTCATGTGGCAGATAGTATATATAGCTGAATAACTCCTGTTTTGTGAAACTATTACCCAGTTGTACACAGTCTTAAATAGGCACTCTTTACAGAGACTTTCTTAACCGATATCTTCTGAAGGTGCAAAAGGAACTGTAAAGGAGTGAATTAGCAGCATGGCAAAAAGAGCAACAGAGACTGGAGCTCATATGACTTTTTAGTCTTTGGCCCGTCACTTAATCTCTCTGCCTCAGCTTCATTCTCTGGGAAGGAAGATACTTTCCATGCAAGCTACAGCTACATTAGCAAGTAGAACAGACCAATAGAGCTGATCTGATAAACAAAACAATTGGTGCCAAGTACTCGAGGTCAAAGCTACATACATTTGGGGGGGGAAGCGGAGGTTTGTTTAAACAAAGATTGCCCCCACCCTAATATACACTTCAGGCTAGCTCCAGCTTGGTCCCTTGAACTGCATGCTCATTTGCAGCCGAGGTATGTTAGGTATGCTCCCAGAACTGATCCTCCAGTTATTCTTGTGTGCTCCAAGACTGATCACAATGGAAGCTGAAGAACAGAAAGCAGGGACAATTATGACATTTGCTTCAAAAACCAGACAAACAAAAAATTCATGTCACACCGAGTCAAAACATTAAGGTAGTCATGTCTATTGGGAGACTGAAAATGCCCGAGACATATTCTCGATACACTTACACCAGGAAGGGGATAACTCACAGCAATGCAGTTTCCTATGGACACAGTGATCAGGACTGCAGTATTCTAACCCATCTAGGTCTGCTCTAAAAGTTGCAGTTTCACTGTCAAGACTGCAGATTGTTTTAAACTCCAGTCTTTTCACTTCCTGCATGTATCCTGTTCTTCAGGCTTCTCTGCATGCCTGTGACTCTAGCTGGTTGAAATCTAGTGGAGCGCTCAATCCGAGGACTGACATCCAGCTCAGTACATGGCAAAAACACCAACTCCATCCACCTGGTCGCAGTCAGTTACTATACCTAATAGAGGTACTGGAAGCTATCTTTCTGAAGGGCCTCTCAGCTATAACGGAAAAGGATGAGAAGTATTTGCTCATGTTTTGTGGAGAGAGGGAGATATAGCACTCCAGGATAAATTGTCAGAAGTTTAAGCTAACATACTCAGTGTGGGGCTTTTAATTGGTTTTTATGCCAAAGGAGATGAAAACAGCTCACTATTACAGTGGAGAGGTATTTTTAAAAAAAACCCCAACATCTTTCATGCAAAATCCAATAACTGACAGAGAGCTCCTACAGTAGGACTCCTGGATTAGTTTCATTGGAATAGTTCAATTCTCTTATATCAAGACTGCTTTGAGACCTGAACTGGCACAAGGCAACCGGAGATGGCCTCCAGAGGATGTGCATGAGATACTCAAGCTGGGTACAAGCCAAGTTGTGACAGTAATTTTTTTCTTCTCCCCCTTAAGGCAACATCAAGCAGGTTAGTTTACCACTAAACAGCTTAACTCTGCCTTGAAAAGGAGGAGCGCTCACACAGTTTTCCGCACAAGTGATGAGTGGCTCAGGAAGCTGCTCCTTGCTGCCTCTGCCATCACACTGCTCTTTCCACAGCCTGGCAGCAACAAGCAGAGCTCCCATGCCGGGGCTCGGACACTGCCATGCTTTTGGCATAGACTTGGCGAGTACTGCGGAGCAGCACAGCTCAGCACTTGAGCTCAAGTTACACAGATGCTGAAGATGTTAAGCCTAAAACACAGCCTCAGTGCTTCACTACCATGGATGCTCCCTGCATCTCTTTACATTAACCTCATTTTTCATTTTATTTTTCTCATTTTATCCTCCTTCCCTAATTCAGGATTTTACCATCTGGCTTCCTTCCCAGTACCCCAGCAAACCCTCCCCTCCTGCATGGAGGATAGGGTATTCTTCTTGGATTCCAGCTTTGGGAAAGAGGCAAGAAGAACAGGATATTCTGCCCAGCCTTTTGGCCTACACCACTGAGCAAAAGAACATTTCAAAGGAATATCAAATAAAACAAGCTTTCCAATCAAGAAGGATGAGCAGATGTTCATAGGAAAAACCCTCACGAGCCAAAGGGCATTCAATCCGACAAGATTTTATCACCAGACAGTCCAGGCTTGCTCTTCTCGTAGTTTTCTGCTAGCACTTCAAATAATCCCCTGGGAAAAAATAAGCTTGCCTGGCTACGTACACCACATACACCCTGTCTGTACAACGAAACAGACTTTTCACTAGCATTGGTTACAGCTGATCACAGCTTAACTGTAAGTACAAGTTATCTCTGGGCAGCTTTAAAATACAAGATTCTTTAAATACTAGCGGCAGTCTGGAGCCCTACGCACACTCACACTTGCGAGGGAAGTAGGGGAAATGCTGTCACACTGCAAGGCTACATA